AATGATCGATGTAACTTGACAGCACATAACTCTCGTGGTTTTGTTTTCAATGCTTCGGGCATTTTAAATCCTTCAGGGACTTTCATATAGATACTCGTGTCAAGTGATCCATATAGATAAGCAGTAACAACATCCATGAGACGCATTTCTAAATTCTTTGTAACTGCAAGACTAATTAGGTATCGGAATGTAATAGCATCCATAACAGGAGAATAAGTTTCTTCGTAATCTATTCCTGGTCTTTGGGAAAAACCTTGTGCGACAAGACGAGCTTTGTATCTTACAATTTCGTTGTGCTCATTTCTTTTCCGCACAAACACCCATTTACATCCAACAGGAGAAACTTCTTTCGGTTTAATAACAATATGTCCGAATACCTTTCGCTTATTAAGCGAATCTAATTCAGCTTGTATTGCGTCTCTCCATTTATTCCAATCTGGTCTCTTTTGACACTCCAAAACAGATCTGGGTTCTGGATCCTCATTTTCATCGATTTCCTTTGATACATTATAAGAAAATATATCATCAATCTCTTTGATTTCTTTTCGATTCCATAATGTACCATTACTGATATAATTGATCGAGATCTCATGATTTTCATTATCTGGATTTATACCACCATCACAAGGTACTTCATTTCTTTGATTTGGAACGCGTTCCTCCGAATTGAGCATTTCATTTTTCTTGGGCCCTTTGCTCTTTCGGGGGTTTTTATCCTTAGAACCAATAGGTCGTCCACGCTTCAGGCGTGTTTTGGAATCGTTTGTCGAATTTTCTCTAGTTTGTTCTTTCGGAATTTCAATCCGTGCAGGAACATTTGCAGCATCTATATATGATCTTGTTACTCTAGTTGTATCTGCAAACGCATCAGGTAACTGGTTTGCAATATTCTGCAAATGTATAATCCTTTGAACTTCTAGTTCTCGTTGTTTTGCTGGGGGATCAAAGTGGGATAATGATGGTGTACACCAATTAAGATCATTTTCATTTCCCACCATTCTATGATTTTCTCCCCCTAATGGTGGGAACTCATTTTCATTAAAATGACAATCAGCAAAACGAGCCGTAAAAACATCTCCAGTTTGTGGCTCCAGATATCGTATAATGGATGGCGAATCATATCCAATATATATTCCAAGTCTCCTTTGTGGTCCCATTTTTGTCCGTTGTGGTGGGGAAATCGGGACATATACTGCACATCCGAATATTCTTATATGCGATATATTAGGTTCTTAACAGTCAGCGAAAATGAGATGCTGGAGAAAACTTTCTCAACAATGCATGCATCGAACATTATACTCCAACAACAATATCGAGAAAAGGGGTATACAAAATATTCGGAGCTTTTATCATGTCTCCTATTGGCAGAACAAAATAATGAGCTGTTAATGAAAAACCATGCATCACGACCAACTGGATCTGTACCATTCCCTGAAGCGAATGCTACAGAAAACAAACCATTCCCTGAAGCGAATGCTACAGAAAAAATATCATTCCCCGGAGTGAATGCTATGTCTTATAATGGTCGAGGACGTGGTTATTTTCGAGGTAGAGGCCGAGGACGCGGTCGTGGTGCCAGCCGAAGATGGATCAGAGGAGGTGATCAAGGAAATTAAATTATGATTTTGGGATGAATTTCCTTGATCACCTCCTCTGATCCATCTTCGGCTGGCACCACGACCGCGTCCTCGGCCTCTACCTCGAAAATAACCACGTCCTCGACCATTATAAGACATAGCATTCACTCCGGGGAATGATATTTTTTCTGTAGCATTCGCTTCAGGGAATGGTACAGATCCAGTTGGTCGTGATGCATGGTTTTTCATTAACAGCTCATTATTTTGTTCTGCCAATAGGAGACATGATAAAAGCTCCGAATATTTTGTATACCCCTTTTCTCGATATTGTTGTTGGAGTATAATGTTCGATGCATGCATTGTTGAGAAAGTTTTCTCCAGCATCTCATTTTCGCTGACTGTTTCTCCACATAATTTTAGAATCGATGTGATACGGTACATTGCCGAGTTATATTCGCTGACATTCTTGAAATCTTGAAACCGGAGGTGCATCCATTCATATTTTGCCTTGGGGAGGATCACCGTTTTTTGATGATCAAAACGGTCTTTTAATTTTAACCAAAGATCTGCAGGATCTTTGATTGTCAAATATTCCTTTTTCAAATCATCATGAAGATGATGTCGCAACAATATCAGTGCCTTCGCCTTATTCTCGTTTGATGCACCCTTTTCTTTAATAGTGGTACCAAGACCTTTTGATTCGAGATGCAATTCGGCATCTAACTGCCATGATAAATAATTGTTTCCCGATATGTCGAGGACCTCGAATTCGATATTTGTCATTCTTGCCATTATGACTAAAACAAAAAATACGGCACACATTAGCTTTATTCATTATCATGGATAATACAACATAGTGAAATACATGATTACATATAAATTGCTATAATTAGTAATATGTAAACGAGAGGTAAGACCGCAATGCAAATTGAAAACAAAAACGGATCGGGATTTTTATCAAAGAAAATACAAAAAGTTGCCGCTAAAATTGCTAAAACAAAGAGAATTTTGATGAAATTCATCTTGAGAATTTTTTTTTTTCGTGGGAGAAGAGAAGAGAATGGGATGATTTGGTGTGAGTTTTTGAGTGAATGGGTGAGTGTATTTATAGGGTAAAATTCACTATTCCTAGCCGTTGGGGAGGAGCAGCCAAAATTTGATTTTTTTTTTTTTTTTTTTATTTTTTTTTTTTTAATTATAGCCGTTGGAGTTTTTTTTTTTTTTTTTATTTAAATTTTATAAATGATTTTAACAATTTATATCATGAAATAATTTATCAAAACGAATTGTTAAACTATTTTGTAAAATTAATTGATAATGCTAATATATAATTAACTAATTATTGAGGGAATAAATAATTTATAATTAATATAACGATATATAAAAAAAATTTATAAAACTTTAATCGTAAACTTTATTACTAACACATTTTTTTTTGTTCAAAACATTTTCCGTATAAATGACCATCAATATTATATATATGATAATATTTTGCATGGTGAATATTTATAATTTATATAGATTAGATAATATAATTGTTTATATGTGGCGGTATTACCATATGCAGAAGTAAAATAATTTAGACGGCATTGCCGTCCATAAAGAATAAACACAATAGTCTATTAGTAAGTACGGCGGCATAGCCGTCCAATATTAACAATTAAGGCGGCATAGCCGTCCAATAACAGACAAATAATTAAAGCGGTAAAGCAGTCCAAATTAATAATTAAGGCGGCACAGCCGTCCAATAACGAATAAATATTTAAGGCGGCATAGCCGTCCAGATTAACAATTAAGGCGGCAGAGCCGTCCATAAATAGTAATAATAAAGGCGGCATAGCCGTCCATGAATAATAATCGAGGCGGCATAGCCGTCCATAAATTAATTATAAAGAATATCGGTATTCATATATAGCTTGGGGTAATTCCACTCAAGCATCAATGAATACATATATATATATCATAAGATTGAAAATATTTGTATTAAAGATAAGTTATCTTACCTTTAGTTATAGAAGAGCGCTCGTGCTGATAACGTGTTATGAATTCGGAGAGATATAAACGACCCGGATATTAGATCGTTTAACTATAACCGAAAAGAGTATTTTGGGAGAATGGAGAAAGATGTATTTCTTATTGATTTCTCTCTTGAAAGTGTACAAATGAAAGAACCCAAATGACCTATTTATAGAAATCCCGAAGTTACTGTTCACGTATACGGTCGGTGTGAACAGTACCGTATATATGAACAGTAAGTCGGTGTGAACAGTAACGGTGGGCTCCACCATAAATATATTTTATTTATAACATAAAATATGTTATATGTGAATTCATGGACAGTCGAATTTTATTTGGATCGATTAAACCTAGATTTAATCAATTGAACTATTTGTACATGTATAGATCATTGGATATTTTGATGTAGATATGTTCAATGCCCATTTTTTTTATTATAACATGATTGCTCAACTCCTTGTATATTATATAATATCACTGTATACCTTATGATTAAAATATGTTATATGTGAATTCATGGACAGTCGAATTTTATTTGGATCGATTAAACCTAGATTTAATCAATTGAACTATTTGTACATGTATAGATCATTGGATATTTTGATGTAGATATGTTCAATGCCCATTTTTTTTATTATAACATGATTGCTCAACTCCTTGTATATTATATAATATCACTGTATACCTTATGATTAAGATTCTTTATGGAATATTATAATATAATTCACCTATCAAAATAAAACCAATTAGATAGTCATTTGGGAGGAAACAAATCGATTGTGCAATGGAAGAGTAGTTCACCGATATAAACGTGGAGCTTAATTAAGCAATATTTATATATTTTCCATTTATTATATAGTATAATTAAGGATATTGGAGTGTATATCCGGTTAACTATCGGTTTGGTCTAACATTAGATTATTTTATTTTGTTAGTAATCAAAATAAGTAACTCGATTCTGTAATACGATGTAAGAATTAAGAAATAAACGAAAAAAAAAAACACTGAATCAAACCATTCATTAACAAACTCTAATTAAATTAAACCGGATCGAATTAAAAAAAGAAAGTTATACACTCCAGTAATAAAAATTAAAAAGGTTCTTAATCAAATATTTGCAAATGCTGATAAGGTGTTGAGTTCGGTCCAAGGCCGACAGGCATATGCTCCTTGATAATGTTCGAATGGCCTTTGTGGGTAGCCCATGTTAGCCCAATAACTTGCTCTTTCGGATAATGGGCCCATACGGCCCAATTCAGAATTTGGGCCCTGAAGGTCGACCCATCTGATTGTCCGTACAGAAACGGTATGCAATAAAATATCTACACAGTTGAAGTTGTATGACGTCTTCTCAATCACAGACCAACTCTTTTTTTTTTTTAAATCTTCTCTGAATCCAAAAAAAAAAAATATGGAGCTCTTCTCCTCCTTCTTCCTTATTCTCCCTCTCCTCCTCATCTTCTTCTTCATCATCAACACATCTTCACGCCGGCATAACTCGCCGGAGACCGGCTTCAAGTCTTACCCGATCCTCGGAAGCTTGCCGGATTTGTTGAAGAACCGTCACCGGTTTCTCGACTGGACAACAGAGATTCTTGCCGGATGTCCCACTCAGACAGCAGTTTTCCGGAGACCTGGGAAGATTCACTTCGTCATGACGGCGAATCCTGCCAACGTCGAGTGTATGCTGAAGACGAGATTCGAAAACTTTCCGAAAGGCGAACGCTTCATCGCTCATCTGGAAGATCTGCTTGGCTCTGGCATCTTCAATTCCGACGGAGAGATGTGGTCGAAACAGAGGAAGACGGCGAGCTACGAGTTCAGCACGAGATCGCTTCGTGAATTCGTATTCAGCAACGCCACCCTCGAAATCACCTCCAGGTGATGATATACATCAATCCTTCGCTTATATACATATATATGTGTGTGAGTGTGTGTGTGTGTTTGATCAATGGAGTTTTTCAGGTTGGTTCCGATGTTATCAGAAGCAGCGAAAATGGGGAAAGTGTTGGATTTTCAGGACGTGTTGGAGAGATTCGCGTTCGACAACATTTGCAAGTTGGCATTCAACGTGGATCCAGCTTGCCTTGGCGGTGACGCAACCTCTGGTGCCGAGTTCATGCGCGCCTTCGACACAGCCGCCTTGCTTATTTCGAAGCGGTTCATGTCCTTGAGCCCTCATGGATGGATGCTCAAGAGGAAGTTCAATGTCGGGTCTGAGAGAATACTGAAGGAATCTGTCGATACCGTCCACAGGTTTGCGGATGATATCGTCCGTGCGAGGATGGAAGGGAAATCGGGGAACAAGAACGAGGATTTACTATCACGGTTCATCAAGATCGACGAGATGAACTCTCCGGATTTGCTTCGGGACATTGTGATCAGTTTCATCCTCGCAGGACGAGAGACAACGTCCTCTGCGTTGAGCTGGTTCTTCTGGTTACTCTCGTTGCATCCCGAAGTGGAGGAGAAGATCATCGAAGAGCTAAACTCGATCCGGGCAAGAACGGGGAAGAGAACGGGAGAGATTTACAGTTTCGAGGATCTGAAACAAATGAACTATCTCCACGCTTCGATAACGGAATCCATGAGGTTGTATCCACCAGTTCACGTGGACACACTGTCTTGTCTGAAGGATATCGTGTTGCCAGATGGAACATTCGTAGGAGGAGGATGGGGGATAAGCTACAACGCTTACGCCATGGGAAGAATGGAGAGCATATGGGGGAAGGATTGCAAGAGGTTCTATCCAGAGAGGTGGATCAGCAGCAATGGCGTTTTCCGACCAGAGAACCCGTTCAAGTTTCCAGTGTTCCATGCGGGACCAAGGTCGTGTTTAGGGAAGCAAATGGCTTATATTCAGATGAAATCTGTCGCTGCGGCTGTCTTGGAGAGGTTTGTGATCGATGTTCCGAGGAAGGAGGAGCATCCTGAGTTTCTAATGTCTCTGACACTGAGGATCAATGGTGGTCTGAGTGTGAAAGTCAAAGAGAGATCCTGAATACATATGTATATATACGCATATATACAGATTTATATACTTATATCTATGTTACTGTTATAGATCCTGTTCATTAACTTCGCCACAAACCCATTTGTGTGCATCACTTTCCCAGCCATTACTGCCATTATAAGCATCGAACAGAGGTCAAGAACAAAAGCATATGAGATGCACCTGAAATGGGAACGCCGTTTGTATCGTTCGATCAGAGCAGTGAAAGGGTTTCGTCAAGAGTTAATAGATCTGGTTGCAGATCTTGTCGGGAAATTTTCTGGGTTTTTAACTTGATCCGAATCTTCTGCTTCGGAACCAAAGTTATGATTTGGCAAATGGCTTTCCATTGAGAGATCTTCATTATCCGACAGGTGAAGATGATGTTTTCATTGGCTCCTGTTTCACCTGGATTTCTCTGTCGTTAATGGAGCTTTTCTTCCTCGGGGTTTCAAATATCTGGTTTTGTGATCTGTGTTAGGGGTGTTAGGGGTGGGTTAGGGGTGGGAACGGATCGGATACCCGAAAAAATCGAAGGATTTGGATTTGGATTTGGATCCGGAACACTTGGGTATTTGTATCAGACGATATCGGAGAAGAAACAAACATGAATCGCCAAGAGAGAGAAAGTCACTGTAGAGAGAGAGTAGTCGGAGAAAATGAAAACTGTTATTCAGCTTCTCTCTGTTTTCTGTATATATACATTATGAATCAACACAAATTACAACTTTAGCCCCATAGAAACACTATGTTATATCTGATACACTCCCCTCTATGATTCCGAGAAGGAAGAAATAGACTTGAAGTTTGGAACCGAGATAACATAGACTGAAAAACAGCCGGTTGTAGAGCTTTTGTCAAACAATCTGCCAATTGTTTGTCAGTAGAGATATGCAATGTCTTGATTAGACCATCACGAATTTTCTCTCGAACTAGATGACAATCAAGCTCGATATGCTTGGTCCTTTCATGAAAAACCGCATTGGAGGCTAAGTGTAATGCTGACTTGTTGTCACAGAACAAATTTGCTGGCAATTGTAGCGGGATGCAAAGATCCTGGAGAAGATTTCGCAACCATACAATCTCACACGTGACATTCGTCATTGCCCGATACTCAGCTTCGATACTACTCCTCGAAACTGTGCTCTGCTTCTTCGACTTCCACGAAACAAGAGAGTCTCCCAAGAAAACACAATATCATGTGACTGATTTTCTTGTATCAGGGCAAGTTGCCCAGTCGGAGTCTGCAAATGCATTCAACTTTAGCTCAGACTTTGCTGAAAAGAACAGCCCTTGTCCAGGATCATTCTTGAGATATCTCAGAACGCGATAAGCTGCATTCAAGTGATCTTCCGTCGGAGCTAATAGAAACTGACTAAGTTTGTGAACCGAGAATGTAATATCAGGTCTAGTTATCGTCAAATATAGCAGCTTTCCAACTAGAGCTCGATAAACTGTTGGCTCTGTCAATAAAGTGCCCTGTTTCAGACTCAAATGATTATTTGGATCCATTGGCACTGAAAGCGGCTTGCAACCAGAATATCCAGCATCTGATAAATCGAGGCAATACTTTCGTTGACTGATTGATATTCCTTTTGCAGACCTTGCAATCTCGAGTCCTAAAAAGAACTTTAGTGGACCGAGATCTTTGATATTGAAGTTCTGTTGCAAGAGTTTCTTCAGACCTTCAACAGCAATATCATCATTGCTAGCAATGACGATATCATCAACATACACCAGCAATGCCAAGAAAGATGGACCAGACTTCTTTACAAACAAAGAATGATCTGATTGAGATTGTCGAAAGCCAGCATTCAACAAGACTGTAGAAAATTTCTGGTACCACTGTCGCGACGCTTGTTTCAGGCCATACAAAGATTTCTGAAGTTTGCAAACAGGTCTCGGAGGAAGCTCTGCATTTGAAGCCAAAGTGAAACCTTGAGGCAAGTTCATATATATATCTTCCTCAAGATCACCATGTAGAAACGCATTAGTAACATCCATCTGCGTTAAACTCCAGTTTTGAGTTGCTGCCAATGCCAACAAGACCTTGACAGTCACTAACTTCGCAACCGGAGAGAATGTATCAATGTAATCAACACCCTCTTGTTGTGTGAATCCATTTGCAACTAATCTTGCTTTATATCTGTCTATACTGCCATCAGCTTTCCTTTTGATCTTGTATACCCACTTACAACCCACTGAATTCTGTGATTCAGGTAAAGAAACAATCGACCAAGTGTTCTTTCGTATTAAGGCAGAGAGTTCTTCATTCATAGCTTGTTGCCACTGTACAGATTTGACAGCCTCTCTAAAATTTCGAGGTTCAGTTTCATGATTGAGGTTTAAAGTGTATTGTCTATATTGTGGAGATAAATGGTCATATGTCAGAAAAGATGACATAGGGTAGGGTGTTGTAAATGGCTCAGTAGAAACAGAATGATGGGTATTATAGCAGTGGTATTCATCCAAATGATGTGGTCTCTTTACCAAGCGTCTAGGTCTTTGAGTCAAGTGACTAGGACATGTAGGTTGTGGTTCAGGTATATCTGATTGTAATGGTTCGAAAGAAGGTTGGTTTGAATGGACAGGTGGTGGATTTGGATCAATATAAGACTGAGATGGCATATCTGGCGGTGTTGGTATTGGTAAAGGCAAAATGGAAGAGGGGAAAATAACGTTTGAGGAAGGGCTTGGTTCATTTTGGTCTTTGGTAAATGGAAATATGGTTTCATGAAACTGAACATTCCTCGAAATGTATATTTCATTGGATTCCAAGTCCAACAACTTGTATCCTTTATATCCAGCAGGGTATCCAAGGAATACTGTCGATCTAGCTCTAGCTGCAAACTTGTGTTTGTTCTTATCCAAAGTACTACCATAGCACAGGCAACCAAACACGCGTAAATGAGAATAAGAAGGCAAAGTACCTTGCAAAACTTCATATGGCGTTTTCTGATTCAGCAGAGGACTTGGAATTCGATTTATCAGATAGATAGCAGTTCTGATGCAGTCTGTCCAGTAAACTAGAGGGAGATTAGACTGATGAAGCAACGATCTCGCCACATTCAAGATATGTTGATGCTTCCTTTCGACGACAGAATTCTGTTGTGGCGTGTTTACACAAGAGTAATAATGCAGCATTCCTCTGTCTCGACATAAATCTGCAAACTTCAACTCATTTGCATTGTCTGATCGAATAGCTTTTATTCGTGTCTTATACTGTGTTTCAATCATGGTAACAAAGGCTGGAAATAGAGTCAACACATCACTTTTATTTATCAGAAAGTATATCCATATAGCTCTAGAACAGTCATCAAATATGGTAAGAAAGTATCGAAATCCTTCTACAGATGGGACTGAAAAAGGACCCCAAATGTCCAAATGAAGTAGATCAAATGGGTTATCGGATACATGGTTATTAAAAAGAAAAGGCAAATGTTTTTGTTTTGCTAAATGACAAGTCTGACAGTGGGTCAATTCTGAACATTTAGCAAGTGATAGCTCGCGGGAGAGGGTCTTTATTTTGCTGAAAGAAGGGTGGCCCAGTCTTTGGTGCCATATATTGGTATCTGCCATGAAAGCTTGACAGTAGGATATAGGAGGTGTGGGCAAAAAAGTAGTGTCGAGGATGTATAGGTTCTGCTGAAGATCAGCTTTCCCAATCATCCAATCCTGAGTATGCACCTGAATGCAACATGAATTTGATGTAAAAAACACTGAGTAAGCATTATCTTTGAGTAAAGAAGAGACACTCAAAAGATTAAATGCAAAAGAGGGTACAAACAGAACGTTTGATAGGGTAAGATAAGGGTTGATGATAACTGTTCCAGACTGAGTAATAGTGATGTGTTGTTTGTTAGGCAAAGTCACCATGATTGGAGCAACAGTTTTCAGATCATAGAATAAATCCCTATTCGAACAAACGTGTGTGGATGCTCCAGAATCCACTATCCAAGTTCCAAAATTGGGAATGAAAGCCATACCAGAAACCAGAGGAGAAGAATCTGGTGCTCCATCCACAGTAATTGTCGCATTAACAAACTTCATCTGATCTTGAAAGTGTGTATATATCTGTTGCAGTTGCTCAGGAGTCAAGTCTGGTACTGCCGAAGGTGACTTTTCCTTGAAATTATCAACATATGTGGTATGCATAGAAGCAATTACATCTTTAGCCTGAAGCTGTTGACGAAATCCAGAACTCTGAGGAGGTCTCTGAATTGACTGTGTTGGAACTTGGTTGTTCTGAAAGTTTCTCGGAGCTGAATTCTGGCCAGTTGGTTTAAATCCAGGAGGATAACCATGAAGTTTATAGCATTTGTGTATGGTATGCCCATACAATCCACAATGCGTGCATAATGGTCTCTGTTTCTGTCTGAAATTGTTAGTAGGAGTTGCTGCTACAACGTTTTCAGGGACTGAAATAGTCTGAAAAACATGTGCTTCATTCGATACAGAAGGCTTGATCAATCGTTGGATTAGACTGATGAAGCAACGATCTCGCCACATTCAAGATATGTTGATGCTTCCTTTCGACGACAGAATTCTGTTGTGGCGTGTTTACACAAGAGTAATAATGCAGCATTCCTCTGTCTCGACATAAATCTGCAAACTTCAACTCATTTGCATTGTCTGATCGAATAGCTTTTATTCGTGTCTTATACTGTGTTTCAATCATGGTAACAAAGGCTGGAAATAGAGTCAACACATCACTTTTATTTATCAGAAAGTATATCCATATAGCTCTAGAACAGTCATCAAATATGGTAAGAAAGTATCGAAATCCTTCTACAGATGGGACTGAAAAAGGACCCCAAATGTCCAAATGAAGTAGATCAAATGGGTTATCGGATACATGGTTATTAAAAAGAAAAGGCAAATGTTTTTGTTTTGCTAAATGACAAGTCTGACAGTGGGTCAATTCTGAACATTTAGCAAGTGATAGCTCGCGGGAGAGGGTCTTTATTTTGCTGAAAGAAGGGTGGCCCAGTCTTTGGTGCCATATATTGGTATCTGCCATGAAAGCTTGACAGTAGGATATAGGAGGTGTGGGCAAAAAAGTAGTGTCGAGGATGTATAGGTTCTGCTGAAGATCAGCTTTCCCAATCATCCAATCCTGAGTATGCACCTGAATGCAACATGAATTTGATGTAAAAAACACTGAGTAAGCATTATCTTTGAGTAAAGAAGAGACACTCAAAAGATTAAATGCAAAAGAGGGTACAAACAGAACGTTTGATAG